TTTCAACTCTATCTTTCCACTGATCTTTCTCTTCTTGAAGCCTTTGAATTTTTTACTTTAGCTTATCTTTTTCAGACTCGAATTCTTTTGTTGTAAGCTTCAATTCTGATGGTGTCTCTTTATGCTTTTCTCTTGTTGGCGGTTGAAAACTTTCATAAGTGAATACCATTTTTTGTCTTTATCTTGCTCTCTAAACCAAATACCCCTGAGTGACTTTATCAGTGAATGGTCCAGGACTCACTCTACAAGGGTTTTTTCATACCTTAATCATCTCATTCATCCTTTGAAATACTTTTGGCTCACTGTAAGAGAAATTTGACTGATGAAGCTTATACGTAATAGGAATAAATTATTCTACCCCCAAACTGCCTTCTCACTAGAAGTGGTGCATAACTTATTGCTACCCATAAACCTAGAAGTGGGGCCACAATGTTATCTTCACACTAATATAACATAGGTTCACGGTTCATCCACGGGACAAACCATTTTACTTCGATACATATCAATTTTTATAGCAAAGCTATCAACTCTTTTTTAGACTTTTGTTCTGACCACCCACTTTCACAAAATTCTTTGATCGAAGCTCGATTACGGACATAAAGCTTTAAGAAAGCACCTTTTTTTTCACTCAAAATGACTTTTCATTCATAAGTACAATAACTGTATGCAACTTATAAAACATCCTCTCTTCTGACAACAGTAAGTCAAAAATCTGACAGTTTCTGCCAATATTACCATTGAAAGGTTACAGCCATTAATCACATTTTTGAAGAAGTCAATCATTGCTATTTCAATGTAACCTAGAACCTTTGAAAATATTACCATTCTATATATGGCTAAAGCAAATATGTCTAACCATTATTCTTCATAAGTATGTTGCACTAAAAAATCATGAAAGAACTTTCAAGGTAGGCAAACCTGTTCTTATTTGTTTTTTATATGAGCATTCACAATCTCTTTGTCTATCCCCATGAGATGAGCCAAATTTTGACTTATTTTTTTGACATATATCTTATTGGGAGCCTTGAGGTGCAGGCTTAACAAAATTGAATATTCTTCAATTGTGGGTGTCATATCGATTTCATTGAAAATGAAACACTTGTATACAGGATTCCAGAATTACACTGTAGCTCTAATTAGTTGATTATCGACATTTACTACAGGAAGGTGTGCTATATGCCCATGTCTCTGGCAAAACTCCTTTTGTCTTAATGGACTCATCTTCTTCCATATATTAGCCATATCCTCTAGATTATCTTGTTTGAAGAGGATAGATGTCTCTTGAGATAAGGTAGAAGCATATTCGATTGGTAAACAATCATCCATTTTTAGTTGAATCTTTTCTGACTAGACTTTTACTTCGTTGGGTGACTCACAATGAGTTAATACAGACGAGAAAATTAGTCGTTCTGTGGAGTCCATGAAAAACTTGTTACTAAAGACAATCTTTCAGGCAAATATTCTTTATGCAACTTTATAATATGAGTATGGACTATGCAAACATGAATAAGAGAAGAGGTTAGTACATCAAATAAAGAGAGATAAATAAATAAATAACTGAATAAATTAAAATGTCACACACAATAAGAAGAATGAATCCTATACTTTTGTCAATTCTAAAGGGAAAGAGATGGCTCTATCTATAGGTTAGACACTTCTAAGGTTCACTATATGTGGTTTGAAGTTAAAATCTAAAGGTTCTCAAATTGCTCCTTACATCATCGTCAATTACAAAGTAATAAGGCACCACAATCCTCACCCATTACAGGCTACAAATAAAAAAAGTTCAATTTGAGTGAGAGTATTTCGCTAGCCATTGCGGAGTCATTAAAACCTCATGAAAGTAATAGGTACTTTACTTCTTCCTAGAGGGACGGAGCTCGGGTATAGAGCTCATGTTATGCACATGCATATAAATGACAGAATTAATAAAGTAAATAAATATAAATGAATAAAAAAATCTATATAAAATGTTTAATTTTATTAGGCTTTTGGATAACACAAATTTATTTACTAGCTTGACTCTCGGTTGTCCCCAGTGGAGTTGCCAAACTATTATAACATCTAGATCTAGGGATTTAGTGCTAGACATTAACTTTAGGAATCACCACCAATCTTTTTTATTTAGGTACTATTGACCACCTAAGAAATCTATTCCCTCAAGGAACACCTAAGTCTGACAAGGGTCTCTAAAAAAATAAGTTCAGGTCTATTAACCAGAATAGGGTTCGAGAGTTCAATTATGTATGAGAAAGGTTATAGCACCCTCACAATACCCATCAAAAGATGATACCAGCTTAATTTTATGTTATCCGATAAGCTTTAAAAATTTTACGAAGTAATTAATTATTGAAAATTATTTTTAACTAACTCTAATGTTTTTGGCAAAAAATTAAGAAAATTTTCTCTCCTCAAGAGTATGCAAGAAAACTACTGTTTCACTTGTAGAGACTCCATCGTCAGATTATTTAACATTTAAAAAAATTACAAAAAAGAAAGAAATAAAGTAAATAAAATAAAACAATAAAAAAGAACAATGATTCACCTTTTGATATAAATTTTTTTCTTTTTATTTTTAAAAAACTTAATGCTTTTGTACAAGAAAAATTGATACTTTCAACTTTTTCCTCAAAAATATTTTTTAGAACACTTTTTTATTCAAAGGAAATTGATACTTTCAACTTTTCTCAAAATGCTTTTTTTTTTTTGGAAAATTTTATTTTATTTTAGAAACCTTATTTTTTAAAAAAATCATTTAAAAAATAAAAAAATAAAAATAAAAGAATATCAAATAATTCTAATTTAGAAATAATAATAATAACAATAATAATAATAATAAATAAATAAATAAAAATCTTAACGCGACTTCGCTTGAGCGACTGGAGTCGGCTCAGCTTGAGAAAAAAAAAACGGCTTGAAAACGCGTCTTGGGAGTGTGCGGCTTGGCTTGGCTCCAAAGGTCAGCTAACACTTGGGTCAAACGCAGGTCAAAAGTGGGTTGACACTCGAGTCAGGTCATCTGATGGCAAAATGCGCGTATCCTCTGAGAATAGTAAGGGCAAAACGACGTCGTTTTTTGAGTGTATAAAAGGCTCAAACTTTTATTTTTTCCCATATGGCTTCCTTCCCTCTCTCTCTCCTCTTCTTTTTTCTCCTCATTCTCTCTAAAAGAACTCAAATTTTGGTTGAATGTTTTACTGAAATCTAAAAAAAGACGTTGAAAACTTCAAAGTTGATCGAAAAACTCGTCAAAAAATTCAAATGCTGCCAGAAAATTCATCGAATTCTGAAAATTTTTCATAAAATTTTCAGAAAAAAAATGCCTAAATCTTCAAAAATTTTCCTAAAATTTCTAGAGCTACCTTCAAACTTTTTTGCTTCTATTTTCTCTCCGTTTTCTTTCTATGTCTCATTGGGTTCTATTTCAGCATCTATTTATAGGAATTGATCAGAGAAGTTTCTGATCAATCCCAATTTCATCTGGAATTGAGATTTAAACTTTGAATCCAATCCCAACTCTGCTAGTCCCCAAATTCACGACCAAATTCATTCCAATTTTTTCTGATCTTAATCCTAATCCCAGTCAAAAATTGATCAAGACAAAAAATAAAAATAAAAATAATAGATAAATAATAAAATATATTAATAGATAACTAAAATAATAATAATAATATATAAATAAAAAATATTAATAGATAAATAATAATAATAATAATAATAATAATAATAATAATAATAATAATCATAATCATAATCATAATCATAATAATAATGAAAATTAATAAAATTAAAAATTAAATTAAATTAAAATTAAAATTTAAAAAAATGAGCTCGTATTACTCATTTGGATCAAGCCCAATTGATTTGAGCCTGGATCAAATTGGGTGTCTACAATATATATATATATATATATAAGTTATATGTGTTAAAGTTTAAATTTTAAATATATTAAATATTACTTTCTAAAAGTAATTGCATAAACATATTAAGTCTCGAATTTAATTAATTTGCACATATACATTTCTTTTAAATATTCTGCAACAAAAAGAAAAGCATAAATATATATATCCATAAGGGCAAAAGAAAAGACTCTTCTTTAGTTGCTCACTTGTCTTGATCATTACTTTCATCCTCCGAATGAAAGCATGTTGGGTGGAGAAGTCCCTAATTGACAATTATAACACGCAACGAACATTAGAATGATGGAAATGTTCAAAGAAAAATGACAACTCAATAGCATTTTGATTGATTTGAACGCCATGCTATATTTAGCATTGAAGCTGCGCAAAATGATTGCATTCAAGAATTGTTGCAGTGGCATCGGATAGCTTAGATTTGTTGTTAGTTTAGATGTGGCTGGTTAGCTGTATGCAAATATTTGGATCTGACCTGTAAAATATTATTTTTAAAAAAATGTTTTATAAGTATGAATTTAAATTTTTTGCCTATCTATCATATCCAATCCCCCATTGTTAAAGCTTGATGTGTTCATCGAGTTCAACGCACCAATCATCAAGCTGAACACAAAATCATGATCAAGATAACATCTATTGTTGAGATTCTTATTTTTATGATTGCTTCTAATCGCATTTAATTCTCATTCATCAAGATTTTAAAAATAACTCTTATAATATATCACTTACTCCCAAATCTCATTAAGATTCTAAAAGTAATTTTTACGATATAATACTTAGATTTTTAATATTTATTAAAATTCACATCAAATTTAAAAAATATTATCAATTTTAACTCAAAAATCTCACAATTTTATTTTATAAAAATTATCTCATAAAAATATCTTACAAATAAAAATTTAAATCTCTACATATATATAATTTTATATCTTCGAATTTTTTCAATGTGGGATTAATAACGTGACAAGCTATCTATTGAATTTGAACTAACTAGGGGTTAATTCTATGTTTTAAGAAAAAGTTTCCTAGAGATCCCTTGTTACTGGTTATGTGCCATGGCCATAACTATATATATAGTTAGCAAAAACTATGAAATTAACCCAACAGATCGATGATGTTAAACACTTGACCATTCTTGGGTTGCGGTTGGGTTCTTGGTTTCAATTTTTGCTGTGCTTTGTCTCAATATGACCAAACGTTCTCAAAAGGTTGGATTTCATGAAGATTTCAGGTTTTAGTTCATGATGTCACCAGCTGAATCATAGACACAGCAATTAATGAGTCAACGACTGCTAACTGAAACCTTGTGGATCATTCCAGCAAAGCTTTGACATGTAACGACCTCCAAAATATTCAATCACACGGTAGAAATGAACCACAAAATTATACAGTAATATAAACATGGAGAAACTATTCAGATCATTTACACCATTTTCCCCTGGCTATCTTTCTGTGAATGCCATTGCCCTTCCAATCTATTCGGTCTCAACCAATCTGTCCATTTGGTAGGAAGAATTCACAAAGCGAATGAATAAATACAGATACAGATCGCCCTCAAACTTAAAGCAAAACAAGGGCATAGAACAATAACAATCAGCAATTGGTTACCATAGGAATCCTTGCGAATCTAAAAAAGTTTGCAGTATATTAAAGTGCCATGCCAAGCCAATTTAACGTTATGGGAAACTGGCATCGGCACGATCACTATATATCTATATGCATAACCACTATCCAGCCATCCTGCAGTATTTAAAGAATTTGTGGCAGATTAGAGACAAGAAGGCATACCAAGTGCCTTTTAAAGCAAATTAATTACCAGCAAGTTTTTTTGACAAACCGTAAACAGAAACACAAAGAAACAAAAGGTAAGCACCCTTGTAATCGAGCTAAACAGCAAACAACCTAACTGTAGTTGCTTTGCAAGAAGCAACAAAATGCAAATTCACGTAATATAAATATCACAATAGATTCCTTTTTTTATTGATCATGCTTTGAAATTATATTTTGATTTAGATACATTTGCCACCCTAGTCCCCTACTCAGGTTATCATCAAAGATTGTTTAAATTGCACCATGTGGACTTCAAAGGTCCAGGTGCGGCTAAGTTTCCTTTTCCCAGACCCTTTTACCTATTATCCCTTTGCTAAGATCACTGTTTCTTAAGGTGATTTTTCTCTCTATTCTCAATAAGGGTTCTTTCAGACTTGTCCCCATTAGTCAAAGAAAAAAGTGAGAAAAATAAAATGTAATTGCAACTAAATGAGAACTATTCTATTCAGCTAAAGTGTCCTCCACAGATTTTCTAGACGCTGGCTTAAGCTCATAAGTTCTTTGATTGGTGCCTCTTTTATTGTACTCGTAGAGCTCATTCAGTATCTCTTTCAGGAATTGCTGCAAAGAAAGAAAAGTAGAAACTTTCAATCACATGAAATACCCTATAACAAAGCACATACAGGCATAACTGCATATGGTAAAAGCAAGAACTACAGAATATCAACCACCAAAATGAGAAGTTTACAACTTCTATCCAGCTGAAATAAATTGGAGATTCAAATTCTTATTAAGTCCTTTTTCATTTTAAAGGCGACTAGCAATTTCAAAGATACTGGTAGAATCATATATTGCAGCAAAAAAAACTCAAATAACCTTTATAAACCATAAGACATATCCAGTGGTAAGAGGATGAAGAAACGGAGCTCAAACGGGGAGGTAAACATAAGGAGATGATAATAGGAGGAAAGATAGGAGGCTTACAGCAGGCTGATCAGTCTCTTGAACAAGTTGCTTTAAAGCCCAATTTGGTTGTCTTTCAAACAGCTTGAACATTATATCTTCCAATTCCCCATGATCCCTTCTGGTTCTCTTCATGTCTGATTGTTTAACTGGTGTTGTTTCCTTCTTATCCTGCTCGGAGACAATTGATAATAAGTGTCAATGTATAATTCCAACTCTTTGCTTTGTGTAAATTTAAGAGCGAAAATTTACTAATATCTTTTTCTAGAGACCACATCTCAAAGAACCTTGGGGTTCTATGAAATCAGGTCAACAATTCCAGGCATTGGCCTCACATGCACTCCACGGTCATTATCAATAACCTTCAAAATTTATCAAGGACACAAAAGTAAGATATTTGGTATCATAATAACATTAAAAAAAAAAATGCCTTAGCCAGGCCAATGCATACTCACCGACCTACCTGTATTTGTCTGTTCTTGATCATGGATTCTTTTGTCCTTTCATGACATAACCTCCCATATTCCTCCATGTTTTCCTTATGTGGTTCCATGCCGAATTATGCTCAAAGTTTCCTTCCATTGCAACCCTACCTATAACGGAAAGAACCAAAAACAGAGATTAATTCACAAACTAAAGCACAGATGCAATTCTCTGCCTCCAATCTCTCAAAGAGAGAGAGAGAGAGAGAGAGAGAGAGCAAGAGATTGGACAATAAAACAGAAGTTATCACTTATCATAACCATAAATAGACATCATGCAGAAGTGACAGGAAAATGTACTAGCTCCTTCTATGCAACATAGCATACCAAAGTTAAGGATTGTTAATTTTTCTTGACAGATATGTGCAGTAACCTTCAATGCATTTTAGAAAGAATTGCTCACCTTGAAGAAGCTCCAACTCAAACCGTCATTCATCACGCTTATTAAAAGAACACCATAATGAACTTGTGAACAGGAAACTGATACTTAACGTGCACATTATACTGATTGAACCATCTGCTATATTACAGCAAGTGCACAATGTAAGTAACAACACGTTATTCAAATCATAAAAGTAAGAGAAGCATTGAAAGCGGCTTTTATAATTAAATCATATCATGGAGTGAATTGCTACTTCAAGTCACTGTACCAAGTAACAAGAAAAATAAAAAGGAGCAAGCTTTATATTAGCAAAATTAAGAAAAATAATTGCACTAGATAACAGACACAAACGTGAATACTTGACAAGCAATAGAAGCAAAGAACCATCTCCATAGTAAACTGATTATATCAATTGATAAACTCGTAAATACTACAATGTAAACTCATAACAATCACGTCATCAAATCTTTGCTTTCTTAGAAAATACAATCAATAAAAAAGAAACCTTTTACTATAATTTTCCACTTAAAAAATTATTAAAGGGCCAATTCATGATAAAGGTTGCAAATTGACAATCACTAATCTGTTATCTTCAAAGTAATTATTCACTAATCTCAACTATTTAGGGTTAGAGTACCTGGAGAGATGAAGGATGGTCGGATTTGAGAGGATCGAGAGAGAGGACAACCTTGGCGACAGGCTGAGAATCATCTTCATCATCGGAAGAAGAAGCGGCCTGGCTCTTCCATGACTTGGCCACGACCACCGGGCACTTCATTAACCACACCGATTTATCAGCTTCTCCGGTGTCCAAAAAGCCGCTGTCGCTGTGATCTTCATCCATCTTCAAGGTCTTGTTTCCTTTAGCCTCTGTAAGCTGTTAAAAGTTTCGTATTCACGTTTTATTTGTCGGGACAATTACTTCGAAGACAGTGAAATTTTTATTTTTTTTTGGACTCCTTGAGCAGTAATTGAGGGATGAATTGGACCCTGACGAACCGGACGGAACGAGTTTAGGACACTGGCTTTTGACTTTTGAGTGCAAAGAGAGGCTAACGTTTCTTGTCGCAAGTTAAAATTGGGTTGAGGTTGAGGCCTGTCCAGAGCTCATGGGCTTGTGTAGGTTTGTTTATTTTGGGCTTGGTTTTATTAACAAGCCCAATATAAGGTCTACTAAAGAGTTGTCTTTCGTGTATTTTTGGCCCATCAGTTGATGTTTGAGACAAGTCTCCAAATCTTCTTTCAAAAATGTCTTATTTTAAACTAGTTGTCCGACCGGTATTGGATCTAATAATTTTAGGCATGACACCAATATAATACTAATTTAAGTGAGTTTAAATTTAAGATAATCGTGTATCTTAAACCTGTTGGTGTGTTTATTTATTAGGAAAATTTTATGGGAAGTGAATCAAATGAGAAAAATATCAAGAAGGGGAAAGAAACAAAAGAACAAATTGAGGGGCAAAGAAAGAGTGTTCTCTAACTTCACTCAAAACCATAATTCATGATTTATTTTGGGATTGGCATGATATCATTGAGGAGCAAAGCTAGTCATGGTAGAATCGCGTTGTAAATCATTGTCTTCCATGAATGAATATAGCCGCAAAAATCATTAAAGAATTGATTGTCAAATTACATTACATGATACACGTAAGTATCAATTATTCTTGCTTTCCAATTAACAGGCAAACCCCACAACCAGCAATATGGGAAAAGACAATGGCATCCGACTCTTGTACGACTCTCTACTGAACAATTACAAACATTGACTAAGGGGGCAAGTGAACAAACTTGTTGTCCAACACTTGCTTCCTTAGTTCCCTAAAGATTTCCCTCTTCTAATATCTAATTTGAGACCCACTATCTTTTGTAACTAATGCAAATGAAGTAAAAATAGCAATGGCAGCCTCTTCTAATCAAATCTTCACGCCAATGTTTCAGTCATGATACTGTAGCCTGCCGTACATGCAATGAGTTTAATTAGCTTTCCATGCAAATTACAGCAGGCCGGCTATCTTTTTTGGCATGGAAAATCCCAACGATCCATTCTCATGAAAGCAAATTAGATTTTGGGACCAGAAATTTGCAGCAGCCAAGCAACATAGCCAAGAAGCAAAGACGCTAGCAGATAGTAGATCCGCATGCCGCTAGCGACGGCCTGTCATATGCCAAAACCTTAGTTCACAACCCTATACTGCCTATTGTCGGAAACCCTAGCACTATTGTTCTGGATTGGCCTTGTTTTATTTTTTTCCCAATCACTTTACAAGGATAAATAGGAACCAACCCTCTCTTTTTCTCCTGTTGATTCAATAATTTGGGGATTAAGTTTCCATAAAGAAACATAGCAGCATGTGAATTGTGATTTAGTTCTTGTCCAAAACAAAAATCTTGTGATTTATGACTTGTTTTTTTACTTGCTAGAATGATTAAAGCAGATAATCATTAATCAATTGATCGATCTTACCTGCTAATTACGCAAACTAGGAAACACTCAGACGTACCAATCAAATTAGGTTGAAGCAGGATTATATGGTTTGAGAAAGGATGTGAGGTAAGTTTTTTAGCTTCTTTTTCCTAGTTTTGTGGGGCAATGGATGTCTTATCATTCAAGAATTAGGTACCATATTCTTCGGATGCATCTAATTTTGGACAGTGAGAGTCAATTCCATGTCATGTCTTAACCAAGGAAATCATGTCAAAGTAGCCAACATGTGCACATCATCTCTCGTGTCATTCACTCGGATCTGTCTTGGAAAAATTTCCCTATCCCACATGCACAATACTTTTAAAACATTAATCACTAATTATGAATTTAATAACTTTGTTTTTAAAACAACAGTTTCGGTGCTTTCTAAGTTTATATTTATATGTACTTTTTAAAACTTAATCTTTTAAAATATATATTAAATGATCAATTACATAGAATAATGTTAAAAATAAAAGTCAACATGGAAATGGTCAAAACAAAAAACAAAGAAAAATTGGCTTGTAGAATCGTACTGACTATTAATAAATTTCCTTCAAGTACATTTAAAATGATTAATTAGTGATAACAAGCAGGTACTTACAATTTATTTGCTAAATTCAACTGTTTTTAACTTTCTAAAACTATACAATTTGAAGAGAAAAATAAAGAAAAAGAAGAGGAGGGGAACATGACAAAATGGTGCATGGGGAACCATCTAAGATGACAGATAAATAAATACTAGGGTGCAGAATCAATTAAGTTTGGGCGGCTTTTAAGGATGGGAAATGCCTTGGGATCTAAACAACTAATCATAAATATTTCCTCTTACCCATTGCCTTGCTTAAGAGTTAAGATGAGTTTCCTAACGGAATAGGTTTCTTAATTCTCTCAATATATATATATATATATATATATATATTTTACAAGTGCTGTTATTTCTCCAATACTACTATTAATTTGTAACTTCCAGCTACCAATTGTCCTATATACCATTATTTTGTCATTATTTCTATCCGTCTATGTGAAATATATATATATATATATATATGAAAAGCATCATGGAATATCATCACATGATGAAATGGGCAAAGGAATCTGAGAAACTTGACCCCCTATCATACAAAATGATGTAAAAAAATTAGCATTAGTTAACTAGCCATGGCTGCTGCTTCTTTGGCTTCTTCTCCAATAGTTTTCTCCTCAAATGATCAATTTGATTTTGGGATTTATTTTTTTGGGTCAATGCTGTTTCCCCAACTACTTTTCATTAAAATGTAACCCACCAAAAGAATATACTTTTCAGTAACATAAGCAATGCTTGATTTCTGCTATGCATTTGATGCTTGAGGTACTAAAATTTAGTAGTAATTAACAAGATCTACATATAGTAGCGTGAGGGATACATGAAACAACCTATACTTGATTGCAGCTTTGGGATTGGAAAAGGACCGGTAGGAAAGAGAAACAATCAACCCCCTTTGATTTTCCTAGCAAAACGACATTTACAGTATTAGACTTTTTTCAAGTATATATAGGTACGCTAATTAACTTGATTAGATCCTAGTATAATTATAACTAGGGCATTCAATGATATATGGACCACCTACATTGATTAATCGCAATTATATTTAGAGAAATGTTAATTGGTGTTTAACGAGATTGATTATTATGATATTTAACGAAAAAATTATAATTAATGCATTATCTTCTATTGATTTATGTGATAAAATCCTGGTATAAAAAAAAATATGAGAGAGAGAGAGAAGGAGCAACGCATTTCTTAAGCATGCAGAGATTTTGATAATGACCTAACTGATTTGCCGAACCAAAGTCCAAAAAGGATATTAATAAAGAGCACTAGAAAAAGAACAGACTAACTCAATGACAAGACCAATAGAATTACTCACGCCGAGTACTGTTCTAAACTTAATATAATCATCGGTAAGAAAGTTAAACAATGGTGCTAATGTCGAACTACTCGTGTTATTTCTTTTCAATATGTATAGCTCCTATCCCACTCATACTAGGCGGTGAAAATAACAGAAAACCTGGTAAAAACTGTCAAATTTTTAGCGATATTTTCGCTAATTAATGACAAAGGTAAAAAGTAAAGATTTCATTAGTGACTTGTGAATCTTGACGTCTTTTCACCCTTCCCTGTGTCTAATTTTTATGCATATTCCTTTTTTTCTGGGTGTGTGTATATATATATATATATATATATATATATATATAATATACATACATATATATATATATGTTGAGATTCGCATAGCTTCTGTCATGAGCTCAACCTATGAACTATTGCAGAAGTTCAACAGTGATTAATTCCTCAATGACATATTATATAATAATCTTGCTTATATATCTTCTAAAAAGTAAAAACCCTGCATGGATCTTTTCCTATAGATTTATTTTCCATACAATCTGAGATTGTTTCGCCTATTTGTAGATTGAAGCATCAGCCATGGGGATGATGCTATATAGTATTGATCATTTCATGATCTTGAAGAATCATGATCCTGTTCTACCATCTAGAATTTCCTGCTCAGGGTGATGAAACCTTAAACCCTTCATGACAATAAATCTTTGAATACCCAAACTCCCTAATCAAAGATTTCCATGATCACAAAATAATCCACTAAAGTTCCAATTTGTCAAAATGCATTGAATAATTTCTGATCAGTAGCAGCATCAGAAGATATCACAGCCTACATAATCTTCCTTAAACATAGTTCATTACTCCAAACAATAACAAAACTAAAAGCAACAAAAACAACATCTAATATCGAAAGGGTTCACAAGTTAAAGGTGCAACATCTTCATGAGTTTAGATAATCAGAGCACATGTTTTGAGTGAGAAACCACATAAACATAGGAAAGTTTCATAATCTTTCCGTTTCTTCCCCATGTGATAATTCTAGAAGCCTACCAAACAGAAGCATCTCTTTAGATATCCATTAACTTACTCGTACCATATCCTATATCATCAGTCTCAGACTAAATATAACATAAATCACATGCACAAAGTTGCGGAGAAGCATTAAAAATTTGTGAATTCTAGCAGAGGTTCACATCCATGCACGTCTATTCAAGTAGCTGAATTTGATTATCTTTACAGAGATAAGTTGTTGACATAAATGCCCGATAAAGCTTGATCTGTTTATACTTATAAATATACCTACAAATACGTACATTCTCAAAACGAAGGAGCGGGAGGAAGAAGAGGTCTTTCATGGTTTTGCTTTTTGGAATGGATTGCCAGGGTTTTCATTTGCCAATGGAAGAAGGTTTTCATTTGCCAATGGAAGAACTTGTAAAGCTGCTTCATGCGCTTCCTTTGTTTTCCTTTTTCTCTCTCTCCAGGAATTGTTTAGGGATTAAAATTTAAAGAGACAAAAAAAGGGTTTTAAAATTCTTTGTTTAGCCGAACACGAAACATAAGTTTCTCGTCCCATTTCAATCCGGCAAGCAAACGGATAAATGGGGAAAAGCGGCTTCGAGTTCAACACCAACCAGAAAGCAGATGCAAGATCAATCAAAACCCCACAAAAAGAAGGGAAAAAGAGCATCCATAAAGAAATCCAATAAGAAACAAAAAAATAATTCACACCCAAAAAAGCACACATCCACATGCTACACAAAGTACACTCAAATCGAAAAAATAAAAAACAGAAAAAGAAAAGACTACTAAACATCGATAATACCAAAAACAACCACACACAATCTGAATTGAAATTCGAAAACAAAAACCAGCATCCCCCAATATCATATGCATCCTCAGTTTCTATTCTCATTCAAATTCTATGCTTTCTACTTCGATGGGTGTTAACATTTAACATGCTAAGTAGCGAAAAGGACCACAAATAACAATGAGCTAGAAACCAACAATCTAGAGTCGCTTCCGACAAATGAAGAGTTTATGTTAAAAAGGAAGGGTCTCCTATTGAGACAGTGGAACATTTGGGGAAAGGCCCGTAAATCAAGACCTTGGAGGTGGGAAGAATTGCGTACCAGCCATGAAATCATTAAGTGGAGCTGGGTAGAGAGACGGGTCAAGCATACTTGTTCCTGGATTGCTCGAAGTAGCGGCGGTTGTGGTTGTAGCAGCTGCTGCTCTGATGAGATTGAGTTGCTCGGAGCTTTCACCGCCACTGGTGTAACGACTTTCAGGGCCTTGATCGTAGAGAATTCCCTTGAATAAATGCCCTGCGATATTCACAGCCGTTTGATAAGCAAACTCCTCATCAACATCGTCCATAGCGCTCACTTTAACACAGCGGAACACTGCTGGAGAATTCACTTCAGGAGGGAATTGACCCAGTTCCAACCCTAATTTTCAAAGTCCAACAAAAATAAATAAATAAATAAACAAATCAAGAGCTAAACAAAAAAAAATCAAACTTACCAAAATGAAAAGAAATGAAGAGGGTTTTCTTTTGAGTTTTTTTCCTAATATTATGGGACTTCTTCGTCAGCTTTACCAGCAAACAGTAGCAGAAATAATGAAAAAGAAGAAAATAAAAGGAAAAGCAAGTGGGTGGGTAACTATGGCGGTGGACTTGCTCACACGCAAATGATACGGTCTCGTTGGGGTACTATCACTGCGAATCGAATTCCTCAATATCTTACAAATTAAACTTTTGTCTAGCAAAGATGGCAAGATACGGTTCTTGAAAATTCTCAATCATAGATCTTTCCAAGATTTCATTTCAAAGAACCCATCAATCTTGCTTTGACGTTTTCTTTTTCCTGCTTTTTTTTGTGTATTTTGTTTTGGTTTTTTCTTTGTTTGTATTGTAAACTACAACTTTACCTGTCGTGGCGGGGGATAAACGAGTGCAGGCAAGAGAGGGAGCACCTTGATTCTCTCTCTGCCTTTTTGGATTCTCTCGAAACTGTTGTTGGTGTTCTTGTTGTTGATTTTGTTGCTGCTGTTGTTGTTGCAAAGCTAAGAGTTGTTGTTGCCTCTCTCGCCTTTTAGCAGCAGGAACCCAAGTACTCTTAACGTGAGTTTGGCACTGATACCCTCGGCTTTTGCAGCAAGTCCTGCATCTCAAATTGGCACAATCTTTCTTAGCTTGGTTTCCACAATCTTGGCAGTTCATGCTTCCTTGTCTCATAACCGTAAACCCTGCTGATCTCGAAGACGACTCATCAGTGAGGTTAAAGCCGCTAGTTCTTCGGCTAGGACCCGCTCCAAACGAATAGTTGTTCACGTTTTGTTGTTGATAATAATACTGTGGCCATATCTCAAACCCTTTGTTGTAGATCTCCTCGTTTCTGTACAAATAAAGGTTCTCTTCTTTATCTTCTTCTCGTTTGCTTGCAGCTGCTCCTTCTCGTCCACCTAAATAGAAAAAGCCAGCCATTTGTTGCACCCAAAAGCTGAAACCCACCTCAATTTGGACCAAAAATCCATAGCAAAAACACCCTATTTAGTACCCCCACCTCCAGATCACTAGTATGATGAGCTGGTTGGATTTTCCCTGGGGTCTTTATGGGTTTTCAACTGTGGAAGCTTTTTCTGGTGGGTTTTTAAAGACCACTGTTAGTCTGTGAGCGTTAGTTGGTTTTGTTTTGACCCGATCTTTGTTGTTTCTGCTATGTCTGACCCTGACCCTCACCCTCAATGACTAGAACTTAGTAGAAGAGCCTGTTTTTCTTTTGTGATCTTTGGTTTTTTTTTTTTTTATTTGCCAGCTTTTGAGGTAAAAAATCTTTAAGATTTAAGGCGAAAACAAAAGACACAAAGAAGGATGGTTCCCCTTGACTTACCCCCCATCCACCCCTTTCTCTCTCCAATTCCCCGCAATAATGCACGGAATTAGAGCCCCTGCAACGCCGCCATGAGAACTGCACCCCTCTCTCTGCTACACTCTCACCTCATTTATGACAAAACCAGCTCATTCTCTCTCTTTCTAAATTCTAACAAAAAGAATAGCTTGTTGTATAAATCTCCGGTTTTTGTTCAGTAATGTAAGAGAGAGATAGAAAAGACAGAAAGACAAAGATGCAAGAAAATGATCTCTCTGGGCATTTCTCTACAGTTCTCTTTCAGTTTCAATGAATCTAATCAACTCAAGGCTTGATCTCCGCCGTTACATATCCATCGTACGGTTACTATTCCCCCACGTGGCAAGCGTCAGCTTTTCCATATTCGTCCTTGCACCGGAAAACCCGCTAGTACTTTTTCTGACCGCTCCTGCAATTGAGTTTGATTTTTCTCTTTTTTTTTTCCCTATTATTTACTGCGATATCAGAATCAGAAGCAACCTAATTCTAACAAAAAAAAAAAGGTTACTGTCACCGTTTCGTTTTCTTTAACAATCACAGACGGAGATATCAGGTAACATCTGTGACAAATCCCAAATCCTACGGTGAAAGAATTGTCTGTTCTGCAATCATGTTAGAATCCACCGCCCAATGAAATAATTGTTTTTCTATTTTTTTTCCGTCAATGCCTCGTATTCTTCCCAAAATTCTTCGAGTAATCAATTTATCATTTGACTCTCGAAAGTCACATTTTCATAACTTTTTTTTAATATTAGAAAAAAACTACATTAAAATCAATAATGAGAAAGTTGCAAGCACAACGGTCAACACCTTTGAGACATTTAACAAAATTAGGTTTTTGTTTAATTGAATAATACTAACAAAGCGCCTACATGCATGAACGACGAGAATAATGTGTTTGGTTTTTTTTATTATCTTCGGCGTTACTTTCATGTGACTAATTTTAACTTGATGGTTAAAAGATTGTGTTTTTGTCTATGAAAGTTGATGGAATTGGTATTTAAAAAAAAAATTTTGATTTACCAATGATAAAAAAATTTTTATTTTATTTATTTTGATTTTTATTACTAATAATTTTTTTACAGGTAATTTATAAATTTAATATAAATTTTTATTGAGATATGTGATATATATGAACTCTAAAATGAAGTTATCTAATCTTGACTAATTTTTTTATATAAAAAAAAAAATTATGTTTCTATGTTCATTTTGATTGATTGTTGGAATGTATTTTTCATGCTATGAAGTGTTTTTTTGACAAAAATGCAACTTTATTTATCTTTCTTTTTTTAGTGATGACTTCTTTTTCCTCTCACATTCAAATTTTGTCATTGTTTTTATTTTATGATTAGATTCTTGAAATGTAGGGAAATTCGATACAAGATAGAATATAATGCAATAATTCAAAATCATTAACAATTTTAATGAATATTAAGAGATTTTAATAATTTAATTTCATTAACAATCTTGAAAAATTACATAATAAAAAAATAAGAAGAAGAAAAAGAAATTATCTATTCTTGTGGCAATACCAAAATTATTAACTTAAACTTTCATAAACCCATATATATCCCAATAACCCTTGCCAATAAAAGAAAACTTGTAGTTAAATTTCATTTATAGGATAGATTGATAATAATGTTAATTATATCTTAATGAAAATTAACTAATGACAATTTAACCAAACTCAATTTATTATATACTATCATGTCTTTAATTTGAAAATAACTTTGAATGAAATTTTAGATAAAATTTGTAAAATTTTTTATTAAAATGATTAAATAAAAAATTTAAAAATTAAAATTGATAAATTAAAAAATTTTATTATATAAATCAATTGTGTAAACTTTTCAAAGAAATTAATAAATTTTGATTTTTTTTTTAGATGGACATTTATAGTAAAAAATTTGACCTTTGAATAAATATCCATAAAATTTTATTTTTAATATTTTTTATATATTATTAATCTTCATATTAAACTCTTTTAATTTATAAATTTAAATTTTGAATTTAAATTTTGTTATTTTTTTAAATTCATAATTTTCACATAAATAATTTCATCTAAATTTTAATTATATCTTAATGAAAATTAACTAATGACAATTTAACCAAACTCAATTTATTATATACTATCATGTCTTTAATTTGAAAATAACTTTGAATGAAATTTTAGATAAAATTTGTAAAATTTTTTATTAAAAATGATTATTTAAAAAATTTGAAAATCAAAATTGATAAATTAAAAAATTTTATTATATAAATCAATTGTGTAAACTTTTCAAAGAAATTAATAAATTTTGATTTTTTTTAGATGGACATTTATAGTAAAAAATTTGACCATTGAATAAATATCCATAAAATTTTATTTTTAATATTTTTTATATATTATTAATCTTCATATTAAACTCTTTTAATTTATAAATTTAAATTTTGAATTTAAATTTTGTTATTTTTTTAAATTCATAATTTTCCCATAAATAATTTCATCTAAATTTTGCCCCTTTAATTTTCTCTTTTCCATGTCACTTGTTTCTTTATTTTAACCAAAATTATTTTTGTAAAAACAATACCCTTCAACTTTGATAATCTCAATAAATAAAAAGAAAAAAAAAACAAAACCCATTTGTAAATTAATCCAAAAAAGTAAAGAAGTAATAAGCCTTTGCTATAACTAAGATTTTACTCACGGAATAATCATATTCACATTACTTCAGAAAAAAAACGTGTTATATATAATTGTTCAACCTTATATCAATTTTTAACACACTGTAATGTAAAGTGTACATTAAAAGTAGTAACTTGTAAAAGCAACAAAGACCACAATTTTGTCGCAAACTGGTAGATTTCAATTCTTTTACATGAACGTTTACTGTAAAATTAGAAAAATCGTGTCTATGCATTAATTTTTTTTTTTAGTTTATATTTGATGTATTGTTAATAATATATAAATTTTTTATATTATCAGTAAATTAAAAAATATTATTTTATTAATAAGTAATTTTTAAAAAATATTAAATTTTTATATATTTATTTTATAAATTAATATTTGTTAATTAATAAAATATCATTTGATTTGTTAATAATATATAAAATTTATACATTGATAATATATCAAATAAAAACTCTTTTTTTAGGTACATGCATAAAAATTAAAAAAAAATTATTTTATTTTAGGATTAAGTTATGTCATAAATTTTGACAAAAACTTTATTAAACTCACAAATAACCCAAAAAAATTTTTGGTAATAAAAATTGAATTTAAATTGTAAAAACGAAATATTAGACCATTATCAATTCATTTAGTCTCCGTTGATCATATTAATTTCATTTTATGTGTATATTTAGCATCGAATAAATGAAAAACAATTTCAATCTTTATTTTTTAAAGTCTTTATATTTTAATTAATAAGTATATACACTTATTATTAGTTGGTATAAAGTTTATTAAATATAAATTAATCGTGCCTAACTATGAAAATGACTCCACCAAAGTGGCATATTATCGAACAATCATGTGCAAACCGCGTGAAATTAGCGGCCGCTAATAATTGGATTTTAATACTAAATTAAGTAATAATAATTATGATTTTACAGGTACGGACCGCTGCCTGAGTCCCCAATCGTACATCACAGCTGCTTGATAAAACTGGCTTTGCCATGCCTAATCAAACTTTTACTATAATAAAGTAACCATGATTTTTTATAATACTATTTGATAAAATTAGCATCCCCTTGCTTTTTTTAGTTTTTTTAAGATAGGTAAAATCGTAAAAGTGATTATTTTAAAGTTGCATTGATCTTTATATGACATGATATATTTAAAATTTTAGTTTTAAATATTAATTACATAAAATTAATATGAAAAAGAAATTTCTTTTTAATTGATTAAATATTTGTTAGTGTACAATTTCATACTTAACTTTCATTTAAAAATTCAATAAAAAAAAACTTCCATCGCATTGAAAATTTTATTTTATGACTGAATCTTAAAAGTCAATCTTAAAAAAACTTTTAAATAAATTTTACTAAACTCTCAAATGAAGTTTTAATAAGCAAAAAATCAAAAATTTAATGCTAATTGTAATTAGGGGCCCGAGGCAATGAACCCCCCCCCCCTTTTTTTTTTCTTTACTGTGGACTCTCTCTACCTTTTTATTTGTTTTTGGCCCTTGTCTGCCTTGGCTATGATAGTCGATTAGATTGTTTATTTCAGTATAGGAACAAACTTGGAGCTCCTAACTTTGATTAAAAGATTGGGGCTCCCTCCTCATGATTTTAAACTAGGGAGCCTAACTTGCCCTTTTTCTGGACAGGAATGAAAAAGAACTACCACTACTACTACCACTTACTATATATCCCTCTCCGAGGTACGATGAGAGCTACATTCTTTTTTTTTTTGCCCCATTTTTTTGAATTAAATGAGTCATAATCTTACAAAAAGAAAAGGGTTATGCCTGGCTTCATGTTGCAGCAGCAGGTCACTCATCCAAATTTTGAGGAAGCTAGCTACCTTTTTCTCTTTTCTTTGTTCCCCTTTAAATGTTCTTGATTTTCGATTCCCTTTTTGATAAATATTGGCTTATGTTACATGTAATTTTATTCTAAATAATCTTTAATAGAACATTAAACTTTAAACTAGTTGAAAGCAGTACTTTTACAGTAATTTAATTTGTAATTAGAAATTAGGGTTTTTTTTTTGTTCCATGGCCTGATAGATTTTTTTTTTTGGCGCTTTAGTTTAATTATCACATCACCTACACGAATACGATGAATAAAATGAAAATCAAACGTCATATTATCCATGAACAATGAAGTTTGAAAAGGTTACAATGTGATTTACGTTTTTGAATTCCAAATAAAAAGAATTTATTGTTCAATGAATACATATAAGTTTTTGTTTTATATTGTTTGTCCCATTTGATTTTTCTTTGCAATCAAACTCATCCGTACTGATTTTATTTTAAAATATAATATGGGTTCAAAATTTTTTTCAAAACTTTTAATTATCAAATTATTTTAAAATTAATTAATAATAAAATTTGAGTTTGATTTGACCAAAAGAGACATATTAGAACCAAACAAAATGTACCATAAGATAACAATCTCATGACAATTTAAAAGGGCGATTAAAGTAAATATCATTATAGCATCTAAAATTGAGTAGCTAATGGTATGATTTGATCAAATAAACCATTTCCTCAAATTGAGTGAAAGTTAAGCGGCTACGTAATTGAGTAAACCATCCGCCTATTAAAGTGAAATAAATTCGACCTAATGCCAAAATGGCAAATAGTAGAAAATAAAGATTCCATTAATAATGAAGCTATTATTAAAAATTTATATTTAATATATTATAAATTAATTATATATTTTAAATATCACCTCATAGAAGAAATTTGAGAAATAGGTTTTGACTGGAGAATGAATGATGTATGGGAGTCTCAATAATTGAGTACCTGTCGTTCACTCTCGAGCCCTGTGCTTGCTTTCCCTTGCTTGACTCTCTCAGGACCAAGCAATTCCCTTCAACACAATCCTTTTTTTTTTAGTTTTTGCATTTTGACATTATTACATTAAGCAATTTCCATTCGAACAGAGAAAAATTTTAACACTGCTTTCAAATGCTCTTTTGGGTCTCTCATCACTGGTCATTAGCTTTCAGTCCTTCGAAAAGAGAAAAAATGAATGAAGGCGAAAGACAAAAGTGTTTTGCCAAAGCCAAAATTTTTGTTGCAATGAACCATGACCTAGGAAGACCACCTACACATTAGACAAAAATAGAAATGCAATTTCACTATATGTATTTCCATGGTGTTTCGAAAATTTTCTCGATCCAACATACCTAAAAAAGAAAAGCGTTGAATATTACAATATTAGTATGAAAAATAAAAAAAAACCTAAAAAATTAAGTTCAAAGTTCAACTTATTTTCAGACTAAATATAAAATTGTTGTAAACTTCCAATCATCTTTATTGAAAAGCGAAGTGGGGTTTGATTTGCTTCATCATTCAGGTGATTTTATGCTGGTTTTGCTTCTTCCTTAAGCTCGAGTACTTCCCAGTCCTTGGGGGAGGCCAAGCATTTTTTGCAAATTAAAATTGCGTAATCTTTTGTGTATGCAAATGCAATGGTTTGACAACTTTTTTCTCCCTTATACCTTTTACATTTTTCAGCTTTTGGGAAGAAAATCTCGTCCTTATCATACGTTGAGTTATGTGATCATGCATTGATCCAAGTTCAGAGGGATTATAAAAAAAGATGGCCTCAAAATAGTACTAATTATAGTAGCAGAACAATTGCCTTTAGAAACTACCAGTAAAATAGTAAACTCTCCTATTCAATACACATGTAGGGGTCCCTCTCCAATTTAGAAAATATCACTCACACACAGCTGAGCCCCACCCTATAGCCTAACCAAAGCCGTCCAGCCCAGCTCAACCACAAAGTAGAGCAAAGAGGGGACACTACGTGCAATTTTAGGTGAAGATTTTTAAAGTGCTATGGACTCGTAGCCTTTATCAGCGCTATTACTTATTTCTTACTACGTTCCTTGTTTGAACTAAAATCTAAAAATTAAAATTTCAAACATACTTTATTATTAATTAATTAGAAAAAAGGAACGTCAAAATGGGGTTGGGGTTTGCATGTGATGGACATGATTGAGATGATTTATAGGTTGAAATGTATAGGGGATAAGTCTTTACCCTTTAAGCATGTTATTGGTGTAATTGGGCGTTGCATGACATAATTGTCTCAAGGGAAGGTTACCACAACTCCATATCACGTGCCTACTGCTTAACTTTTGACAAACCAAAGTCCCTCTCTTAATTCTTTAATGGATGCCTCACAAAAGAAACCCTTTGTTTCTTATTTCTCCCAAAGGTTTTTTTCTTCTTTTTTTTTTTTTGGAAAAGCAGACACCACTACTCCTACTACTACTCGTTAATTGTTATGATGATTCCTTTAAAGCAACACTATGGTTTTTTTACAGCTGACATTCTCAAATAATTGTGAGGGAAAAAAAAGGAAGCTCCTTCCGTTTGGAATTAAGTTTTATGCGACGATTGTAGGCCCATTTTATCTTTTTAATTCAGCATCCAAGGATCTTGTATGGGTTTAATAAATCAACTTTCAAGAATTAGGCCCGTAACGATTGGCTCAATCTTGCCTGGTGGGCTCCAGCTTCAGCAGAATGTGTGCAAAAGATGTCTCTCTAATGCTTCTTCTTCTAGCTCTTTTTGAGTCTCGAGTCTCCTTTAGTTTGATCTGATGCAAAGCTCTTCCCAGACAATGATCGGATCCCAAGTCTCCGTCATTTACCAACAATTTAAAAAATAAGTTAATCTTCAATTATACATTTGTTGTTCAGGTAAATCATTAATAAGAAGAAAAAAAATTGATCACACTTTAATATGATCCTAGTAGTTTCATTCATATAAAAAATTGGTTACATTCTGAACAGCTTCATTTTGGACTAGATATATGTCAACATCAAATTAATGTCTTTTGTGATATTTAATACAAAATCGAAAAAGAAAAATGACAAAAAAATCAAAAAAATAGATCTGTTCTGTTCATGAACCAAGCTATCTTCTCATGGGTCATCATTGAATTAATATATAATTCGATTAGAGAAAAACCTTATAGCAAGAAAATTTTAATCTAATTAAGCTTGTCGTTGTCATTTAGATTATATATATCTTGAATACAGATAAATTCTGACTTTACCTAGGCTCTTTACGTTCTCTCTCTTTTTTTCTTCCATACAACTAATACGTTGGATGAGATATGTCAAAATCAAAATTTTGTCTCTTGTGATTAAAACAAGCTTTAAAAAATTTGGCAAGATTTGCAAAAGTCACATTGATGCTGAATGGTTAACAATAAAAAAAGTTAGGCTTACCAAGAATCAACCTGGCAATTCTGACAAGTACAATAGGTTTAGGTTTTTGGGGAAATTTTCTGAGGTGTCTTGTCTGTCTGAAGAAATTCAAATTTCCCAACATCAAACATTTTGCTTTGATAGCTTAGCAACCTTTCCACGGCTTATATGAGATCTCATTATCTAGGTATGACATAGTTAGACCACTTCCAACAAAAAAAAAAGACATAGTTAGACCTCTTCCTGTTCAGCACTTTTGAGCTAGAAAAATTTGTCAATAAACAAGACAAAGAAAGAAAGCTATAGAGCTTTAAAGGGAAAAAATGGAGAAGAAAGAATGGAAGAATGAACCCAAAGACTAGCAGCAAACTGAAACGCCATCTTTGTTGAGGAGTTCACCACCATAAAAACCTACCGCTAATATTCTAAGATGAAATGAAATATGTTCGGCGCCCCAAGCATGAGCTGGCCATTGAAAACCCAACATCATCTTGGGTTTGGAACTGCCGGGTTGAACCCTCAACGTCCACATAAAGGCCCAGTACGAGCTACGACAAATTCTTCAGATTGTGTTTGTTAGATATGCAGGAAAAAGAAAAAGCATTGATTAGACGTGTAGGAAGGATTGAAATGACATTACCTCGTGGCCTCAACAACGTTAACTTCTTCATAAATTCGTAGGTCGACGCAGTCTGTTCGTCTGCCCCAGCCCCATGCCACGCCTGCCATGAGCTAGGAGCTAGCTAGGCCCGAAAAATGAGAACATCCTGTAGATATAACCGCGGTTAATTTATGGGTAGTACAAAAAAAATGTCAAACTATAAAATGAGACTTGACGGAGGAAGACGGAGAGTGTTGGTCCCAAAGACGAAATATCGATATTCTGTTCAAATCAAACAGGGATGACTCCAATTTACCACGTTTAACAAACCATGGGAAACCTTTCACCGATTAGGCAATGTCTTTCCATTTGTAGTAATGGATTCCACCATCTCCTTCATTTCAGTTCTTTCCTTTTTTTTTTTTTTGTTCTTCATTTCACCACTATCCAAGAAAAAGAAAAAGAAAAAACTAGAGAGAAAATATCATGGCTAGAGGAAAGATCCAGATCAAGCTGATAGAGAACTCAACCAACAGACAGGTCACTTATTCGAAGAGAAGAAATGGTCTGTTCAAGAAGGCTAATGAACTCACTGTTCTTTGCGATGCAAGAGTTTCTATCATCATGTTTTCCAGTACTGGAAAACTCCACGAGTTTATCAGCCCTTCCACCTCGTAACTCCTTCTCCAAAACCCTATATTTCTTAAAAACAAAGCTTCTCGTTTTCTTTTAGCAGTATAATTTTATTTTGTTTTCTAATTTTTGTAGAACGAAGCAAATAATTGATCAGTACCAGAGAACCTTGGGGATAGATATCTGGAATACTCACTTCGAGGTCTCTCACTCACTCTTTTCTTTTCTTTTTCTTGTTTCTTGTTTTCATCTTTGGGAGAGCTTGCTTGAAAGAGAAAAACGATCTAAAACGATCTCTCTGTTACATTGAATTTTTGGGAATTTACAGAAAATGCAAGAACAATTGAAGCACCTGAAAGAGGTTAACAGGAATCTGCGCAAGCAGATCAGGTAAAAAAATGAATATATATTTTTTAGTGTGTTTTTTATTGAATTTAACATGTTACATTGTTACTCTTCCTTGTTTATTTATTTATGTTTGATGTTATGGCGATGGAATTGACTATAGGCAAAGGATGGGTGACTGTTTGAACGATTTGAGCATTAAGGATCTTCGTGGTTTGGAGCAAGAGATGGAGAGCTCTGCCAAGCTTGTTCGTGAGAGAAAGGTCAGGCATTTTAAAACCAAATTAAGAACCTTTTGAACTAGGGTTTTCCTTTCCTGTAATGTTCCTGACTTGGTCATATACTAAGTTAGATTTAATTTTTTGTCCAAAAAGAGGTGAAATTTAATTTTTAAAGAGGATGAATAATTACTTTGAAATGTTAATACCTTAAGATTTTTTTTTTACTTCCTTTCAAAAAATTTTTAAACACTTTTAAATTTTGTATCCAAATATTTGGCATAATAGCTTATGTTTTTTCTATTAAAAAAAATCATTTTTTACCCTATATCTTATATAAAAAAATGTTTTTAAATTTTAAATTCACACATAACTCAATTGGTTCATAAAGATTACAACCACCCTGTATTTGCAATCTCCTTCCTAATCGATCCCAGGAATGGAACATATATACATTTAACATATTTTATAAAGAAAGGTTAATTTTCCAGAATATTATCAGTTATTTTGATTTTTTTTTTTGAAAAGTTATATGGATTATTTAACTCAAGTAGTAGTGGTGGTGGATAATGATTTTGAATAAAATTCTTAAATTCAGATCTCAAGAAAATTTTATCCCTATATATATACAAGAAAATAAAATAGTTTGTGAGAATATTCTCTCAATCACTTTCTCCTTATGCTTTGATATTTGGAATCCATATCTTATTCTTTTGGCATTGCGTTCAATTTATAACTATAAGCACAATAATTTTCGAAGTCTTTTTATATAGAATCTAATCGAGTTTTGATTGTAAATATATAACAGTATCGTGTCTTCAGCAATCAGATCGAAACTTTTAGAAAAAAGGTAATTTGATATGATGATATTTGAATTTAATTTAACTCTCATTCATTTTTCATTCTTTTAATTTTGCAATTGTATAGAAAATTACTCATATATATTATTTCTCTTATTATATATCTTGTCCCAGATGAGGAATGAGGAAGGGATACACAAAAATCTGTTACATGAACTGGTAAGTACCTTGTAATCATAGAGTTAGTGACATTGTAGTTTGTACATTTTCATCATATTAAGGGATCAGAAACCATTGTTTTCTAATGATGTCTATTCAATCATCTGATTCAAGGATGCAATCAAAGAAGATCCATACGGGTTAGTTGATAATGGTGGGGATTATGATACCCTAATCGGATACCAAAATCGAGGTCCTCGTGTATTTGCTTTAAGCCTACAGCCTAACCATCCCAATCTTCACAGCGCTGGAGGAGGATCAGATCTCACAACCTATCCCTTGCTCCATTAGCATATCTCAAAGCTAAGGTCATGCCATATATATATATATATTGGTGTGAAAACAAATTAAAAATGGTGTGTACTATTAATTACTAAAATTCTCTCCACTTTATAATTATGTGGTTTTGATGTTTCCTAATATATTGATGATTAAGGATTTATAAGACTCTATGTATCAATCTATTATTCAGTTATTCTCAATTTATATTTTCTTTTTCTTTTATATTCTGATAAAATGAATAGATAAGTAAAATAAGTTTTCAGGTTTTCAATGCTTTTGTATTGGGCGATGAGAAGCAAGAAGAAAACTGGTTAGTGGTACCAATTGGGCCACCATCTAGGCCGAACTCCAAATTTTGTTTCTTAAATTCAACTTTAGCCCAACATTTACTGTATCTAAGAGTCAATAGTCTTAAACTGAGGCTAACTCGGATATTGGGGGCCCATTAACACTAGGAATTCCTGAATAAGACAAAATAGAAGTGAAAAAAAGCCTTGACGCTATTAAATATTAACACATTGTTGTTGTTGTTGTTGTTTAGATTAACATCCGATGAATAACATCTCCAATTGCTGTCAGCCTAATCCTTAATCCTTGTATAGACACCAAATTTGTCTGACTTTTTTAGTTAAGTATCATATTAAAATTCGTCACGGGTATTAGGTTTTTAGACCGAAGCCTGATTTCGATTTGACTGGGCTTTAAACTCGATTTTGACTCAATTGGGCTTCAGACCCAATTTTGATTCAACTGGATTTCAGGCCTAATGTGATTCAATTAGGCTCGAAGCCCAATCTCATTATTTAGGCCCAAAACATATTTACATTTTATTTTATTTTTATTTTAATATTTATCAATTAAACAAAAAATACAACAAAAAAATTAAATATTAAAAAATTATTAAATTAAAAAAATTAATTAATTAAAAAAAGAGATAAAAAATAGAGGGCTGATTTACGGTGGCGTCGTTGCCTCTATCTAGCCCTCTGTCTGATCCCATCTGATCTAGCCACCCTTACCCAGTCCTATCAGACTAGTGACCCTTGTAAACAACCACCAAACCAGCCATCTCTACAACCATTCCTACAGCCACCCCTTACAACCTTTAGAGCACCCATTATCCCAAACACAGACCAAGCCCTATAAAGAATCCAGCTTCATCCCCCTCTGTTCTTTTGGACACATTTCCAACTACCCCGAAGCACTAAACTCCATCCACCAGAAAATCAAAAAACCAAAAAGCCAGAACAAACCCATACCCAAATACCCAAATAGAAAAACAGAAACAAAAACAAAAACAAACAGTCCCCCCTAGGGAGGAACCTCAATGCCAAAGCTCTCCTGTAAAAAAGAAAAAAGAGTGTCAGTTTGAGTTTTCAACCAAAAAAAAAAAACACAGAAAACATCAAACCCTGATCTATGCTGATCGAGGCTTTTTCTCATGAAAAGGACAGCGGATCTAAGCTTAGGAGGTCGAAAAGAGTATTTCGGTGAATTTTGAAATTTTTTTATCACTGGTGATCATCAGCGACTACCATCGGAGGCAGCCAAACGGTGGTCGACGCAACGATCCGACACCAGACTTCGGCCAAGGCCAGAGAATCCCTAAGCTCTGAAACTTTTTTTTTCTAAGAAAAAGTGGAAAATGATCTAAAAAAAAATTGGCTTATATATATATATAAAGCCCAAAATGACGTTGTCTGGATCAGGAAAGATTCGTCGTTGACCTGACCCGAGATCCACCCAAACTACCTGCTGATCTATCTCATCCAGCCTTCAACCGGTCCGATGAACCGCCAGGGAACCAGTTTGAACCGCCTCTGCTCCAAACCGCCTGACGGGATCGAACCAGTGTTGACCAGTTCGGTTCAGGTATTTTTTTTTTTACATTTTTTCTAATCTTTTTTAACTATTTTTTAAACTTTATTATTATTGTTATTTATGCATGTTTTAACACTATTAAATTTTGTTAGAATAAGTATATGTTATTTATAATTAATAATATCAATTAAAAAAAAGTTTTAAAAAGTTTTAATTCCTTTTAACATTTTTACCTAAGTGTTAAATACAAATACAAAATAAAAGTAAAAATAAAAATACAAAATGATTGTAAAAAAATAATAATAAAAAAACTTTTTCCTGTCTAGATGTTGGAGGAAATATAATCGTGCTTTAAATAATAGTAATTTCGCCTAAATGTTGGAAAATTATTATTATAAAAAAAATTAAAATTAAATAGATTAATATTAACTCTTTATAATAAAAAAATTATTTTTTTGAAATTCACAAAAAACGAACTTGCTCCGAAAGTCCACCTAGATGTTGAGAATTTTTAGAGATATTCACGTTTTTTTAAAATTTCAAAAATCAAAATTTCAAAATTGAAACCCTAAATCCTTCAAACCCTAAAACCAAGCTTTGAAACTCTTAAATCTTAAACCTCTAAAATTAAACCCCAAACCTCCAAACTTTAAATCCTTCAAACCCCTAAATTAAACCCAAACCTTCAAACCCTAAAAATGAAACCTTAAATACTTTAAACCCTAAATTAAACCGTAAACCCTCTAAACACTAAAAACGAAACCCTAAACACTCTAAACCTTAAAAAACAAAACCTTAAACCCTAAAAATCCAAAATCTCAAACCCTAAATTCCAGTCCCTAAACACTAAACCCTAAAATAAAAATAAAAAATCCCAAACCTTAAATTCCAATCCCTAAAATCATACCCTAAGTCTTCTAAACCCTAAAACTAAAACCCCAAACTTCAAACCCCAAACACTAAACCCTAAAATTCAAAATCCTAAACCTTAAATCCAAAACCTAAAAATTCAAAATTTTAAAAACCCCTAAAATTCTAAGGTAAAGACCTAAATTTAATACACATTTTTGAATCTTCAAAATAATGAGACCTTAACCTTTAAAACCTCGACTCAAGCTCTAACCAAAACCACCTGAAAATCTTAAAGACATATGTGAAAACCTTACTTGAAGTAATTTATTTCGAATGCTGCCTAGATGATGGGGTATTTAGGAAACTTTATTTCATTAAGTTTTTTCACACAAATTCTTAATTCGTATTAATAATGGGATTATTAAATAAAAAATACTAGTAAATTTAGATCTTAAATATAAACAGTCGCACCTAAGCTCTGCTTAAATGTTGAAGAGTCGGGATGATCTCATTATACTTAAGAGCCCAACTTTAAAATTGCATTTCATCTTGCATAATATCCATTGGCATATATATACATCATTATATTATTGTTGACACTCATTTCGTATTTCTCTGTCTTTGATCTTTATTTATTACTTAATAATACCATTATTTACTTTTTCATATAAAATGTTTCACAAAACAAAAATGGATATATAAATAAAACAAAAATAACATTCCAAAGGAAATAATTTTTGGTATTCTGCCTAAATGTTTGAGAGTCACCAACAATTATTTTTCATAAAGAATGTTATTTTTTTATTTTAAGAAATATCATGTTAAATCTTAAGCCAAAAGAGTTATTTTAAATTCTGCTTAGATGTTGAAAAATTTTAAGATAATTCTTTAACTTAAAGATTTCTTCAATATTCCTAAAAAAAGAATTTTAACCAAAATTTATTTTTTTAAGTAAAGAGAATTAGTGTTAAATTTCAAATTGAAACCATTTTTATCTAACATCGAAAATACTGCGTAATTAAATTATACTAATTTATGAACGTTGTGGGGGTGCTAATCCTTTCTCATGCGTAATCGACTCCCGAGCTAAACTTGATTTTTCGTAGACCAAAACTTATCTTTTTAATAAAATTTAAACCCGCTTTTACAGTTTTATTAAGAAGATAAACTTTTAGGAGGTCAATCATACCCTAAAAAAGATTAGTGGTGATTCCTCTTTTTATTTTTTTGATTTTAAAATTCTTTACGTCTGGCGATCCCAAAACCATTACGACAGCTTGGCAACTCCACTGGTGACAGCTTGACGAATTTTAATACGATACTTAACTAAAAAAGTTGAACAAATTTGGTGTCTACAACTGCGGCTCTTTGCACATTACTGAGAATTAGAAATAGGGTAAAGACAAAGACAACAATTTTGTCTGGAAGCAAATTGAGATTTTTTCAAAAGTTTTTTTTTTTTTTGGTTTGGATAACTACCGGGATGACGTAGTAAGTCAAAATATAAATAATCGACTAGAATAACACTGCAAGTCGAACAATAAAGAAAATGATCGGGACAACACCATGAGTCGAGAAATAACAAGATCAAGATTGACCTTGGATTGAATCACAAGTCAAAAAATAAGGAGATCGAGATTAAATCATGAGTCAGAGAATAACAACGATCGAGATTAAATCGTAACTTAGAAGTAAAGATATCGAGATTTAACCGAGAGTCAAGAAAAATAAAAAGATTAAGATTAAACCGTAAGTCAGAGAAATAATGAAGATCGAGATTAAACTGTGACTTAGAATTAAAAAGATTAAGATTGATCCATGAATTAAGAAAAATAAAGAGACTAAGATTAAATCGTAAGTCAAAGAAAGAATGGGGATCGGGATTAAACTGTGACTTAAATGTAAAAGAGATCGAAATTGAACCACGAGTCAAGAAAATAAAGAGATCGAGATTAAAGTGCAAGTCAGAAAAAGAATGAAGATCGAGATTAAATCGTGACTTAAAAGTAAAGAGATCGAGATTGAACCGTGAGTCAAGAAACAAAAAGATCGGGATTAAATCGTAAGTCAGAGAAATAATGAGGATCAGGATTAAACTGCGATGTAGAAGTAAAGAAACCAGGATTGAATTGCTAATCAAGAAAATAAAGAGACCAGGATTAAACCGTGATGTAAAAGTAAAGAGATGGGGATTGAGCCGCGAGTCAAAAAAATAAAGAGATCGAGATTAAATCGTAAGTCAGAGAAAGAATAAGCATCGAGATTAAACCGTGACTTAGAAGTAAAGAGATCGAGATTGAACTGCGAGTCAAGAAAAATAAAAAGAAAGGGATTAAACCGTAAATCAGAGAAATAATGAGGATCGAGATTAAATCATGACTTAGAATTAAAAAGATCATGATTGAACCATGAGTCAAGAAATAATGAGGATCGAGATTAAATCGCGATGTAGAAGTAAAGAGATCGGGATTGAATCATGAGTCAAAAAAATAAAAAGATCGAGATTAAATCGTAAGTCAGAGAAAGAATAAAGATCGGGAT